TTCCAGCACTCCCCACCGCGCACTGCGTATCCCGAGATCCGGTCCTCCGAGGCCGTGTTGTCAACATCGTACCCAGCGGCAGACGTCAAAGAACAGTTTGGTTCTGCCGACCTTCCATTCCGTCAAAGACTACGACACGTGTAGATCGGATCGGAACCGGCCTTCTCGATCCCGTCGGTGAGGCTCTGTGGACATGTGCCACCAACCATCACCAAGGAAGGAAAGGGAAGCTTCCGGACTGGCGGGCTGTCCCCAATCTGAGCTAGCGTCAGGAACACGCGAACCCGAGGGGACGTTGCCGGGTCAACATCTGCAACAGCGACAGGTGTCCTGAGAAAAGAGGGCGAATCCGCATTTTCGGAGCATTACGATTCGCGTTACGGGACAAACGAGCCGTCAGGAGAGGCTCCATCAAAGGGTGCATCGCGTCCTTTCCCTTCACGAGATAGCGTTACAACGTGCTGATCCAGAACCACAAACCCGAGGCATTAGGCATTAGACGGCAGAAAGGAGAACGCTGCCGTCACGGCGCTGTGAGAACCATGACCGCCGGGCCGAATGAGATCTACCGCCATAGAGCCAGACACCATAAGTGAGAAGCAAATCGATCGACCAGTCTCATTTTACAGGCGTAGCCTGTTGTTGACAGCTTGCCACCCAACTTTCCACGTTCATGATGCCGTTTGTCAGACAGTAAACACGTTGGTGGAACAGCACACCGCGACTAGGTAAAACTGCGACGAGACCGACAAACACCACGCGGTGATGCCGTTTCCCGTTATTCATCGGCCTGCTACAGCACTGGGTGGAGGTTGGCGGCTATCCAAACAAAATCCCTAGCGGTTCGGTTCATGGAGGGCTGAACCTCTTAAACAGCCCAATGGAAACGTCCCAATGGTTACCTCCTGTGCTCTTTGCGCTTGTTGCTACATATCGTTTCCCTACGCGACAATACCTCTACCCGCAGAAGGGCACACACACACACTGGAAACATTCTCATGGAACGAAAAAGAGGCTGGGAAAGGGGTCGAGACTGTGTCGGAAACGCCAACTGATACCCACAGCTTCCATTGATCCACCATTCAGGTCTTTCGGCTTCTAGCCTGCAGCTCTACTGCAGGTCGAAATGCAGCCGAGGGTGTCGCTGAAGGGTTCGAAACCGCTCATCAATTTCCCAGCCACCTATCAAGGAGCTGAACCACGCCTTGTGTTGCAGCAGCTGTTGCAGCAAACCCGAGATCTTTCTGGGGTCCCCCGACTGGCTCAGAGAGAGAAGAGGTCTCTCTGTTCGTTCGGGTGGTGATGATCATGATGGAATGACGCTGGCCCGACCTTGCGGCCTCCCCTCCTCGTCGTGACGCCGATACGCCCTGGGGCTGAGAGGCCCGGCCATGCCCTTTTCCCATGCTTTCACCCTTTATTCCTCCGGTTTACCAACCGACATGAGTGGCGTGCAGATGCAGCGCTGAGCAGTGGACCAGTCGAGCCACTGTTCCGGTCGGTTCGCTGCCTGTCACAAATTGGAAAGGAATGCTATCCATGATGACCTCTGGGCGGCTATTGAGGGCTGGTCCTGTCTACAGGCCCTAGACCTACACTACACAGCCGTCGCACAATCTCTGGAACAGGTCCTGTCCTGGCGTTTCACCTAGCAGTTCCTAGCACTGGGCCTCTGCTAGCTGACTGCCGGACCCTTTGCAAAGTCGATGATGGCTTCAGCGGAGCTGCTGAAAACCCAAGCGACAACCTCGGGAGAACTGGCGGTATATGAACGCGAAAACGGGGTACGGGCACCACGGATCTGTCGCTCCAGATTGCGGGAGGTTGGCACTTGGCAGGAGGCCACAAGTCATGTTCGGCGATCGAATGGGTCGGCCGCGACGATTTGATCGAATCGAAGGCGATGTGATGCTTGCCTGCTCCGCTCATGTTCAGCTCACCTCGAGCTCCCATCATGGTCGTCAAGGAGCTTGGACCTAAGCTCGATTGGGTCTCAGGCATCGCTGGCCGTAGCTGGCTGATCCCAGAACGAGATTCGCGAGGGGGGGCTGGGGACTCGCTGGGGAAAAGGGACCGGGCGGCCGAGCACACAGAGACGAATCAGGAAGCAATCAGGGTCGATGGCGTGGGGATCAATACGGGCCCCTTGGCGATGCACTAAGCCCTTTTGCTTTCGATAACAAGCTGTTCCCCACACCATATGTGCGTAAACAGATGAACGGCAGAACCGCCGCGGCGCCGCAAACCCACCAGAAAAAAGGGCAAAAAGGGAGAGAAAAAATGGTGGATATTCGCACAGCCGGGACTTGGAAATCCCACAATTTCCTCCTGCCCATCCCATCTCCAAAGCTTTTATCAACCCTTCGGTACCTACAACTGCCCAGCATCACCAGTCTGACCATCCACTCTTCTGGCCTCTCGGCTCTTATTATGGCGGCCTACACTGGCTTGAGACTGGGTCAGTGGGTGCTGTAGGATGGTTATGATTGCCATTCAGAGGCTCAGCTGTGCTATGAGATCCACGCTACATCCGCGTAGCTGAGGCCTGGGGTCGAGTGAGGTTATCCCCAGGGGCAGTTCTGCCGAGCTTCAGCGAGAAGATGAAGCTCTCTCTAGCCAGTTGCCAGCAAGCTCTCTGCCATACACCGCTCGCCAGCGATCCCATTGGCGAACCCCCCTCCTTCTAGAGATCTAGACCCCCCCCTCTCCATTTTCCCCAAGAAACTCTCCCACACATCAGACACGCACATCGCCGTCGTCAACGCCCACACGGGCCCCAGCGAGCCTCCGTCTCCCTCCGTATCGCCCTGTTTTGCTTGTGATTCTCCCTACAAGGCCGGGCCAACCACCGCCCACAATCGGTAACGGTGGTCCCGTAGTTCCCCCAGACGGACACTCCGCTCATTATTTGAACCGGCCTTGCTCGTGGTAGCTTTACCTGTCTTGATCTTCTCCTTACCATCTTCCCCAGTCAGCATCCGACCACTCACAACCAACCACAACAACTCCGGAATCCCCATCCTTTTCGAAACCCTCTTCGCAGAGGAATCGACTGAATCCGAGTCCAAGAAGACGGGTCGCACAGTGACCGCCTTCTCACCTACGTCAATCGACTTCTTTTCATAGAGAAGCCAGAGACATTCTTTTCATCAATCTTTCGTATATCGAAAGGTTGATAGAAGAGACTGCCTCTTGCGCCGTAGACAACCGCCAAACTGGATTTTGAGGCCCGTGTCCCCGTCCCTTTCAGCATCTTCCCGGGCACGTACCGGGAACCTGAAAAGGGCGTGCAAACTCATACCAAGGTTCACGAGAAGGTTGAGGTCAAGGTCACCAAGCCGGCTGTTGCTGCTGCTGCTGTTGCTGCTGCTGCCGGTGCTGCTGCCGCTCACCATCACCATGGCCGTGAGGATCACCACCATGCTCCCGTCCCTCCGCCTGTCCATGAGCTTCAGCCTCCCCGTGTAGAGCAGCGCATCGTCGAGGAGGAGATCCACATCACCCGTGAGGAGGAGGTTCGCAAGGAAGACCACCACAAGGAGCATCACCACCATCGCCCTGCCAGCACCCATTCGCACGTCTCTCACCACTCGCATCACTCTCACAAGCCTCACCTGCCCCATATCCCTCACCTTCACCTTCACAAGGACGAGGGCCACCACCACCACCACGAGGAAGACAACAAGGAGCACAAGCACCATCTCATTGACCACCTCACTGACAAGCTCCCCCACATCCACCGCGCTCACTCGGCCGAGGACGAGGAACACCACAAGGGCCACAAGCACCACCTCATTGACCACCTCACTGACAAGCTCCCTCATATCCATCGTCCTCACTCTCACCACTCATCTCACCACGATGTCGTCGAGGTGCACAAGACGGAGCATGTCCATACTCACAAGCATGACCATGGCCATGGCCACGGCTCCCACGGCTCCCAGGCTGGTCCGGTGATCGTTCCCGAGCCCAAGCATAACGACCACCACCACCACGCCGCGCCTCACTATCCTCTGGAGCCTCAGGAGCACCATTCGCACACGAGGTGAGTTGATCGGGTTTTTTTTTCTAGTGCAAGATCCGTTTTCTGCGTTTTCACATCCCGTCACCGTTCCTTTCCCTTTCAGCCCCCGTTTTGAAACCGGACCCGCTTCTTGAGCCGGGGGAGGGTTCAGGTGGGCATGCTGGCCGTGTGTCTGCTTCCACGTTGAAGCTGCAAACCAGTTCAGCTGGTAGACCCCCCCTGGCAGAAGCGGCTGGGACTCGCGAGTGCGTTGCAAATGGCTAGCTGGAGCGGTCTAGGGGCTGGCGAGCTCGTAAACCAGCTGGTCGTGCTTTTCTTTTTGCTTCACCGCTCATGGTTAGGCGCGGCAGACCCCCCCAGCCTCCTAAACATTCCCCTTTTTGTATTAGCTCCATGGTCCACTTACGATCAAGGGAGTGAGCGGGAAAAAACACTGTACCAAATCCCCTTTTCGAGCCCCAGCCCTCTCAAGCCCTCTGTTCGGTGCTGTTGTGGTCGTTCTCTGCTGTTTTCTACGCGTATATCTAACCCAGGAAATCCCTTCAGTGGTCACAATTTTTCCGAACCATCTTTCGAAAAGCCTCATCATCACAACTCGTCTTCTCATCATCAACAATCCTCCGACAGCGCCAGCGCTATCGACATTGCTGAGCATCAATACCGGTCCAAGTTCCAGCCCGCCTACCACAACGAAGGTCACGCAGTCGGTTCCACCGTCGACGTCGCTAGCTACCGTCCCAGCCACAAGGAGTCCACCCACGTCGACGACACTACTGTCGACTTCCCTGCACTCCCTGCACCCCCTAGATCCACTTCTTACAAGGAGAAGATCGTTGTCGACGAGACTACTGTCGCCTTCCCCACCTATCGCGCAGCTCATAAGAAGGCACCCAGCCTCTACAGCGAGTCCACTGTCGACATCCAAGAAAACGAACTTTCTCTAGTCAAAGTCTCCAATAACAACACATCTTCCAAAATGGGCTACTACGACGAGGACTGTAAGTACTGACCGTACCCATCATCCATCATATATTATCTTCATCTTTCCTTCCTTCCCTTCCTTCCTCCTCCCCTTTCCTTTTGACATCTCAACCTCGACTTCGACTTTCTTCTCTTCTCTTCTCTTCCTCCTGAGGCAATAATAATAATAAGCTGACCATGTCTCCCTCCAACAAAGCTCACGGCCACGCTGATGCTGATGCTCAGCCCCGTGCCACCGGCACCACCGGCACCGGCTCTGCTTCCCAGACCGTCACCATCCCCTGCCACCACATCCGCCTCGGCGACATCCTCATCCTCCAGGGCCGCCCTTGCCAGGTGATCCGCATCAGCACCTCTGCTGCCACCGGCCAGCACCGTTACCTCGGTGTCGACCTCTTCACCAAGCAGCTCCATGAGGAGTCCAGCTTCGTCTCCAACCCCGCCCCCAGCGTCGTTGTCCAGACCATGCTCGGCCCCGTCTTCAAGCAGTACCGCGTCCTCGACATGCAGGATGGCTCCATCGTCGCCATGACCGAGACTGGCGATGTCAAGCAGAACCTCCCCGTCATCGACCAGAGCTCCCTCTGGAACCGTCTCCAGAAGGCTTTCGAGTCTGGCCGCGGCTCCGTCCGTGTCCTCGTCGTCTCCGACCACGGTCGCGAGATGGCCGTCGACATGAAGGTCGTCCACGGTTCCCGCCTCTAAATCGGGGGTTCCGTTCATACACACCGTTCAATAATACGACTTTCTCCCCCTTCCTCTGGAAATCGGACACAACACACGAACGACAGACATGGTTGGGTTAATAAGGGCTGCTTGGATGTTATGATATGGTCTCTCTGATGGATGCCTGCTGGGTCTGCTTTGGTTATTTTTTTGCGCGCGCGTCTAGAGAAGATGATGGGTTGGATAATTATATGTACTGGTAGTTTGCTCCCTCCCCATCCATGTATATGAAAAGTGTAATGGAAGGAGTCGTCAGTAATACAACCTTAAAAAACTCACAACCTCCTTGTTCCAATTGATTGAATTGTGTGAACAGCAAGCAATTGAAAGAATTTGACTGTTTTCTCGTCCTACACTACTGAAGGTCAGATCATCACACCTCGTTCTTCACAGCTTCACTCACCTACCTTAGCTTCTTGGGATGTCAAACTAACATTGGCGCGTAGTCTAGCGACGGCTTCTACTTCTGATTGGTAGAAGCTTGGTCGATCATTGTCCTACCCAATCGTTGCTTGTTTCTTTTTGCAAGTCGCACTATTGACACGCGTCAACAAATGGGAGAGCTAAGAGGTCTTGATGGTGGGTGGTAGCCGGGGATGAAGCTGGATTGTGCCCGGTCAGCCCGGTCGGTCTCTGATCGTCTCACACTGAACCGTGCTCCCGTGTTATGGAAAGGACAAGACGACCGAAGACAGGCAGACAGGTTGAGGCAACCACCAGGAAGGAAAATGGTTCGCTCCTTTGAATGGGAGAAAAACAAAGGATTGCTGCGCCGTACGACCTACCGCTGCAACTCGGATGACGCGGGTCATTGATAAGCAGGCCAGCCCCTCACGCGGCATGCAACAACACGAGTCGACCACCTTCTCAATGAGGAGAAGTCTTGACCTCCTTCTACAAGTACCCCCGCGTTTGAAAGGGTGACAGTGGCAGAAGTGGTGCGGCCTCGGGTCATCAAGGGACTCAGTCTGTGCCAAACACCGGATGACAGTAATACAGATCAAATCCCGAACCATTTGCATGATGGCCATTCAGCTCCCTTCCTGCATCATCATCATCTCAAGCTGAGGTCCAATGGTGATGATTTGGAATCCGATCTCGAGCAACACATCAGTCCACGCCAAGTAAACAGTACTACTAGACATCATCAGCCGCACAAGTCACCATGGGTGCTTCACAGTCCAAGATCCCTTTTGAGGAGAAAGCCGCGAACAGCAGGGACGATGACTATGTCCATGTTGATGAGAATGAGCTCACGGGTGAGAAGGGAACCACCATCACAAACATCGCCAAAAGCCGTAAACCCGAAGGCCTTTCCTTCTCAACCGTCTCAAAATGGGAGAGTACACTGCTGGAAGACCCCAAGAACAGGTAGGATAGTTAACCCCCCAACATCCTCATGAGACGAGGGCATGCTTACTGACTGACATATTTCGCTCACCAGACTGGCCCTGTCCACCCTGAGCACCGCCAACCCCCGTGATGTCCTCCTCTCCCGCGCGGCCAAGATCGCCGAGCAGCAGGTCTTCAACATCAAGATCCCCTTCGAAGGCAACCCCATCACTAACCAGCGGCAAAGCGGGCGATGCTGGCTCTTTGCCAGCACCAACGTGTTCCGCGTGGCCCTGATGCAAAAGTACCAGCTTGACCAGTTCGAGCTCTCGCAAGCCTACCTCTTCTTCTGGGACAAGCTCGAGAAGAGCAACTGGTTCCTGGAGCAGATCATCTCCACGGCCGATCAGGACCTCGACTCGCGCCTGGTGCAGCGCCTCCTCCACGAGCCCCTCAGCGACGGCGGGCAGTGGGACATGGTTTACAACCTCGTCGACAAATATGGCCTCGTCCCGCAGACGCTCTACCCCGATTCGTTCAACGCCAGCTCCAGCAGTGTCCTCAACAGCATCATCTTCACCAAGCTGCGCGAGTACGCCCTCGTGCTACGCAAGCTCCTTTCTTCATCCAACTTCACCACGGCAACGGAAAAGGAACAAAACCTCAGCACCACCAAAGCCAAGATGATGAAAGAGATCCACGCCATCCTCACCATCACCCTCGGCCCTCCTCCCCCCGCCACCTCCGAATTCACCTGGTCCTTCACCGACCGCCACGGCACAGCGCGCACCGTGCGGTCCACGCCCCAAGCCTTTGCAAAAGACATCTACTCCTCCTCGGGCGGGCCACTGCGCATCACATCCAGTTCCATCGCGCGCATGGTCTCGCTCGTGCACGACCCGCGCCACCCGCCCTTGACGCTCATGACCGTCGACAGGCTGGGTAACGTCGTGGGCGGGCGCAACATCACTTACATCAACGTGGATATGGCGTGTCTGAAAGCGGCGTGCGTGAGCATGCTCAAGGCCGGGTTACCCATCTTTTTCGGCAGTGACGTGGGGAAATTCAGCGATCGCGTGGCGGGCGTCATGGATCTGGACCTGATTGATTACGAGCTGGGGTTCAATGTGAGCTTGCTGGGTGCTGATAAGGCGAGTAGGCTGAGGACGGGCGAGAGTCTGATGACGCATGCCATGGTGTTAACGGCCGTGCATGTGGATGAGGAAACGGGGAAGACGGTTAGGTGGAGGGTGCAGAATAGTTGGGGGAAGGAGGTGGGTGAGCAAGGATGGTTTGTGATGAGCGATGCGTGGATGGATGAGTTTGTGTATCATTTTTTGGGGAGGGAGGTGAAGGACGTGCTGGGACAGGAGCCGATTGTGCTGCCGTTGTGGGATCCTATGGGCTCGCTGGCTTGAGTTTGCCTTTGGTCAGTTGCTGAGTGTGATGATTATGGTGGTTGATGATTTTGATGAATGTTATGACTGATGGATCTCAAAAGTGGAATTGCTCACACAGATGACTAAGATACGTAGTGAAATTGATATAGTTGTGTGAATGATCGAATCAGTAATTGTTGGCTTATCATTAAATCTCTTCCTACCTGTTTCTGCGATGGAGTAAACAGGATAAACGGGGTTGAACATGTAAAAATAAGGACATGTGGTGCTCAGTTTGAATGATAATGGTTGTGCTTTCCTTGCTCACCTTTGTTTTTCCTCGTTTCTCTCTCTCTCTTCACTTTCCTTACCTACAAAGGTTGAAACATACCTAGCTCCTTTCCTACAGCCTCAAGGCTTTAACCGCAACCTACACACTTCCATGTCCGCCTGACTTCACTTTTGTGCCAGCAACTCTGTACCGTATTCTCAGTCCGGCTCGTTTGAGTTTCCAAAATCTCAAACCAAGTTCCCATCTACCTACCTAGCAACATCCGTCTTATTAGTTCTGACGAGATCATCGCTTCCCACGCCGCAGCCATGCTTCTTATCAGCCTCATTTCTCCGGGAAACCCAGCGTGAGTGGTGCCAACTCACTCGGATCAACTTTGGCAGGCTGTCTGGATGACCGAAAGATTTATGGACGTTGTCACTGGTAGGTAGGTATGTTCCGTTGGTATGATTGGTAACTAGTCAACTCCCGTCCTTATAGAGTATCTCGGTTGTTTCTGGAAGATATGTACCTAAGTGTAGGCACGAAAGGTTAGGTTGCTTGCAGATGGTGATGATCTGAATATATTCTTTGCATGAAATGCCGCCTAGGGATCCTTGGACTCTAGACTTAGGCTCAAAACAGTCACCGAGCGGACGAAAAGCTTGTTTTCTATCTTCTTTCCTTCGAATGCTTTAATCGTTTCGCGCACGTGGTTGACGAGATAGACTATTGAAGGTTTCGAATTTGTCGAGAGTACATATGTTCAGTCACCTTCTTTCTTGGCTGGACGCAAGATTATCATCATCCTGTGAGCCGGTACAACTTCTTGGACTTGATGAATTCTAGGGTTCGATACTAACCTGGCTACTGATATCTTCATCTAACCAACTCGAACTTCGTTTGTCTCTGTCTGTGTCAAGTTTCTGAGCAGTTTATGTTGGCTCACCCTATCTCCTGGAAGCGACGACTGTCCATGTTGGGTCTTAGACAAAACTCTCTACCTAGACTCGAAAACTGCCATACTAAATGACTGAAGCGGATATCCGTTGGTTGCTAGATGGTAGTCGTGTTGCTCTTCCTCGTAAAATGAAGATACCAGCTTTGTCAAATCAATGAGAGAACGCATAAGAGCAAGACCTGCATTCTTTCTGCGTATCACCAGAATAATTTTGCGAAAACATGTTCCTCCCTCGGACATCCCAGCATGTTGATCTCTGCGAGAACACATCGATAGGGCTCTACATAGCCTTTTGACTGTTGACAGCCGAGTTATGCAGACGCTCGTTGAACATTCAGATCATCGTTCAAAAATGCTAGAAGATGGCATGTAGTAGCCGAAAATGCAGAGTGTAAGGGTCTTGATGAGATGGCGAGCCATGTCTCAGCCTCAAGTTGTGCAAGTGCCTTTCGGTATGGGGCAACTAACCAACTAGTCTTGAGTCTAACTGTCTCTGATAGACTTGCGGTCAACTCCTAAGGCATCCGGTATAATCCACGGATGAGTGAGAACAGAGCGTTGGTGATGTGATCCTTCGGGAATAATCCAAGAACCAAGCCAACATCCATGCAAGCCATGATATCGGCTCATTGTCCTCAGAACGTCGCTTCGGTATAAGCCGCGTGCCTGAAGAACATAACATCGCCGGAACGGACTCATGTGTTACCCCACTCGGGATACTTGGTGGAAAATGTGCATGATGAACCCGGTTGCCGGCTGTTGGATCAATCTTTCCTTATTCCGAGCGAAGCCATGTTGAGGCAGTTGGTGATGATGGTGGGTTGGGTTGGGTTTAAATGGATGGCTGCCCAATGCCTCACGCAGATAAATGACTGACATGCGTTCGAGAAAACCTGAAACCGAGATGCCGTTTCTGTATGTGATTGTCCACTCGACGGGAGTACCGGTATGGGAAACGGGAACGACGGGGCCTTCAGTGTGCGTAGCATGCTCATGGTTGCACGCACCACAGTAGGAAAATAGATGGCCGTGAAGAGTTTTTGGTTCTGGAATGATCGGCATCTTGTAACCTGCTTGCTTGCTCAAGTGCACGGAAGGAACGCCCGGAAGGGGAGAGCGGAACAAGAAGTCGTTGGAAAGAGGAAGTCGTGATGATGGTGTTGGGCAAACAGGCTCGAGGTGAGGGAAGGGACAATCGGGAACGAAAACAGAGCTTGATATATGGGGGTTATGGGTGTAACCGCTTCGTCATTCACGGCTTGCGGTAGGTGGGTAAACAAGTACAATGGTCTCTTATCTCTCCACATTGTGCGTGAAGAAAAGGTCGCATATTATACCGTGCTCAGAAAATGGACATTCTATGATGCCGCGACTCACTGAGAGGCGACGTATAACTGACCCGTTAACACAGGGGACTTCCCTGATGAACGATGGAGAGACGAAGAGGGTAGAGATAGTCAAACCGTCATGGTGCGACGACATCAAGTATCATGATGGATGGAAATTGAAATGACCGTTCAAGTTGTACTTGGCGATTTGAAGTTTTGGTGTTTGCCCAACGCGAAGCGTTGTGTGACAAGAAGCAAGTGTTGTGAAGACAGCTGACGATGCTGGCTTCCTAGGACTACTAGGTAAGAAGACAGTTGGTGGTTTCTGAAGAAGAGACGGCTTCGGAGCTGTTGTTGGGACGTCATCTTTTCCTGTTTCTTCACCTTGACGGCCTAGAAAGTGGATCCTTGTTAGTGTTGTGGCCCGGCCCATCCCTGCTAGCAATCACTATCACCACCAACCGCAACCTTAACTTCAACCTCTACATGAAGCTTCAACCCATCTTGTGCTACAGAGCATTCTCGAGATCTAGAAAGGTACGTATACTACTTAGTGAGCGAACGGCAGTTCATCAATATTGACAGAACCTTTCCCCCAAAGGCGATGCTCCTTGTCCACTGAAATAATTTATGGCCACTTGACTATTTGCTATCTCGTCTCGACGACATGAGGTTCATCCGATATCACTGCCCTGAAGCGCCCCCGGCACCCCGGAGACGGGACGGCGGGTATCCCCACCCCAATTGAAACCCAAAATCCACCTTTCCAGGTACTCCAAGGAACAGCTACGCGCTAGGGCATTGGTGTTGAAGCCCAAAACCCAAAAGTTGATTGTCGGTCAAGCCATCACGGGAATGTAGGCGAAGAGCCTTGCATTCGCCGTTTATTAATTCGGTCGACGGGGAGCTCACTAGACCTCACTCTGAATCGGAACCTGAACGGTTTCACCGCTTGAAACCAGAAGTGTGGTTGTTAAGACCACAGGGTGACTGTGCTGTAAAACTCTCCGTGAGGGAACAATCCCATCTCATCTCTTATTCTCAAGATCACGGTTACCCTGTGATATGCCATATGTGGTGCAGAAAGTGGTGGTTCGGTATGTAGTGTACGAGGTAGCCTCCCGCATCAGGTACACAAGAAATACAGGATCCTGCTAACAGCCGAAGCTCTGAGGAAGTGGGGTGCTTACCGGGGAACATGAAGCAAGGTTGGCCTGAATGCCGTGACATGGGTTGCCTGGATGGCAGTAAATAGTCGGCTCTAGTGAGCGAGAGGAGACAAAAGAAGATATGAGAGCAAATTGGAGTGTCTCGTGAGGGTATGGTAGCCAGCTCGTAAATGTCGAATCAGGCCGCCACGCCACCGGACTTGAGACTCAAAAGCACTGTGAATGGTAGTGCTACCGTATACAGCAAAGACTGTTTGTACTCCTCCGTCTGTCTATGGTTTTCATCTGGCTCACGTTACGTATTACACCTGGACGGTATATGGATTATATCTAAGTACGTTTTGAATAAGGTTAAGGATTGAGCAAGTGACCTGTTTGCCTGAGTTCGGGGAACTTGTCGGCGTCCTAACGAAGTGTCAATCAGTTCGAGGTTGACTTACACAGTTTAACAGTACATTCGATGTTTCAACTCGTCTGAACTCACTCTGGTTGCTTTCTTCTGATCCGATCCCATCTGATCGTAAGACCAAAATAGATCAAACACTTCGGCCGAGGACATATCCGCTCGGTTCAACCTCCACCTCACTACTAGCCTCTTCGCCTATCTGCCCAATCGTGTCCAAAAGGCATCCTATCGCGGGTCCCTGGCGAACAGTCCGAGGCGAACGGGCAGTCACGGGTTTTGTGGACAAGAGTTCCATGGACATCCCTCGAGCTCTTCCCAACTTTCTCATTAGCTGATCCCGGCGTTTCCAACTGCACACCCTGGTACGTCCTGGCCTGCCGGGCAACTTGGCATTCTACAACCCCTGCACACACACCCCGCCATACGCAATTGCCCATCCACCCGCCTGCCTCGAGTCTCGGGCCCCGCTTGCCCTCAGTCATCAGCAGCGCTGCCTACAACCTTTACAACACCACACCATCACCACCTGTTTCCTTCTTACAACTTTGATTCTTCCCTCTCCTTGACTAACGTGCCCGCGACGGGAAACTACACAAATCCGATATCAACGCCGCCACGAGCTTCTACTGGCAGAGATTCTGGGATCTTTGGCGCTCGAGTATCTCGCCCGTCCTTCTTCAGACGTCGCACGCTTCCTTATTATTGTCACTGTCTCACGTGGGCGTTCCGGACTATACAACATATTGTTAGCGAGCTTTCCATCTCACCTGTTGACTCATTCATCCAGTCATCCGGTCTCGCGACTCAACACCATCCTCAACCCGATCTTCGAAAATCCAACCTTGATCGTCCTCGTCTTTCATCCCTCGCTCGAACGCGCCGATTGTCGCAATGGCCGACCAAGGCAGATACAGATATCCGTCGGCGGCGCCCCCAGTCGGGCGACGGTCCCCTCCGATGTACAATCCTGCACGCCTCTCCATGCCCATAACCGGTGCTGGAACATACCAGTCGCTCTACGGAGGCGAGATCCCAGTTCTCCCTACAACTCACGAGACACTTCCTCTCCGATCGCCTGTTTCGTCCACTGCCGACTATCGTCCAAGCACCGTTCCCATCGACTCTGGTAGCTATGCCGTTAGAAAGGAGCCCATCCCAAGGAGCACGAGCGTAAAGGACCACGGCACCAGAAGCCACCGATCTGCCACTCTCGACGCAGCCTCTAAGCGCCCCGTTATCAACCATGCGCCCCAATCCCCGGTTCCCAGTAGCATACGGTCGGGGAGCCCATCAAGGCCTGTCTACCGGGCCAGTGATGAGTTCTATACACAACCTGCTTCCTCCATAAACCGATCACGAAGCGTTGCACGCGCCCCGTTTAGCGCCAATATGGATGATGCCGAGTACCAACGTTTACGGGAACGGACTGACCGGGAAAGAAGGGAACATGAAAGCCTGTATAGCCCTAGAGCTGCCGACCTATATCGTGCGTCACGTCCAACAGTGCTCTATTCCAACAGTGGCATCCCTCGAGGCGGCCCTGGGTTGGACGAAGAAGCGGTTTTCGAATACACAAAGCCAGGTGAATTGGCTCGTTATGATCTCGATCATCCTCGTAGGAGCCGGCGCGAAAGCATGGATCACTACTATCGACCAGCAGTTAGCGTCTCATCCGATGTAGGACGTCCATACGATACCATCGACCGGCGGCTTTACGACCACCCACCACCGAGTGCATTCAGTTATGACAAACCAGCCCGGGATGCAATTTCTGGACTGTATGACCATAACAGCGTTCGCATTCCCGCACCTTCGGAGGTTCTTTCTGATACGGCGGTGCGTCGACCTCCTACTACGCTTCTTGACTCTCCACTACCGCCAGGGTCTTCGGCAGCAACAGAGCGCACTTCGCGCCGAGCTGCCTCTCGTCCGCGCCCGATCTCACTCATTCAGGAAACGCCAAGCCGATCGGCTCATCCGGATGAGTATTATCGAGCTCGGGATGACGGCTACTACAAAGATGACGATATCTCACAACGCGGATTCGGCATCCGACCTGCCGCCAAAGACAATAGAGAGCGACGAAGGTCACCTCGGGAGAAGCAATATTATGATGAACGTCGAGACCCACGAGAGCCTCGAGAGCCCAGAAGGAGGTCGGACGAGGACCTGGAGGTTGTCCGACATAGGAAGCACGACGACCGTGACTCGCGAGACTATCATAAGCTGCCTCTCGCCCGAGAATATCTTCCAGTTGACGACCGCGAGCCCAGGCGCGAAAAGCTTGTCCCCGTTAACGACATTCCAGCTGCGTCTGCAATGAAAGTGGCGCCAGCTATCAATGGCAGGGACGGGAGAGGTGATAGGGATATTGAGTCTCCGAGACGACGCTATGATCAAGACTATGAGCGCCGTGATCCTGACCCACATTCCAGGACCAGTCGCCATGCTGAGGATTATGAGCGTAGGAGGCTTGATGATCCTGAGCCCCGCCGACTTCCCCCCAAGGAGGACGATTATGATCGTCGGAGGAGCGAGGTTCCTGAAACATACTCCCGGGTGAGCCGTAACGATGACGGCTATGACCGCAGGAGACCTGATGACCACGAACCCCGCCCACGGACTGCCCACAGAGACGAGGACTATGACCGCAGGAGAGATGATGATCTTGAACACCGCAGGAGAGATGAGGATCTTGAACCCCGCAAACAAATCGAATACAAGGATCAAGGCCATGATCGCAGAAGAGATGATGACCTTGAACCCCGCAAGCAAATTGAGTACAAGGATCAGGGTCATGATCGCAGGAGAGATGATGACCTTGATCATCATAAACGAACTGATTATCAGGACGAAGACTATGACCGCAGGAGGAACGATGCGCCCGAGCCCCACAAGCGAACCGATCACAGAGACGAAGACTATGATCGTAGGAGAGTGGATGATCTCGAACCTCATACACGCACTACCCACAGAGATGAGGATCACGAGCGACGGAGAATCGATGACTCCGAGCCTCATCCACGAGACAGCCATAGAGATCGAGACTATGACCTCAGCAAAGTCGATCCTCGCGACAGCCACAAGCGGGACAGCCGCGATGAAGAACACTACGAACGCCGAAGGGAGGTCGATGATCCCGAGTCTCGCACCCGGCCTAGTCATGGGGAGGACCGTTACGATGATCGAAGGCCGGCTGATGATGTTGAGCCTCGCACTCGACCTAGTCGTGAGGAAGACCATCACGACGACCGAAAGGTTGATGATCCTGAGCCGCGCGCCAAAGCAGGTCGCGATGACTATCGGAGAAGCCACGAGAGCTTTCAGATGGTTGATTTGCCCGGTGGGTTCCCCGACGAAAGGGCGATTGGCGACGAAACAGATGTCGAAAGCCGAAGCCGCCATAGACGCGACGCAGAAGCGCAACTTAATGGGGAGCCTGCCTCCTCGCCACGACGGGAACACTCCAGAGAACGCGATGGCAAGGATGACGAGACGCACCGCCGACCACGTCCCTCCTCTGCTGCTTTTGATCCTAACGACACTGCCGGGCTAGCGGAACTCAAGGCTGAGTTGGCAGCACAAGAGGCCAAGGAGAGTGCCAGCGAGGGTCATCATACACCCAAGGAGCACTCGCCTGAGCGGGAGCACTCGCCTGAGCGGGAGCACTCGCCTGAGCGGGAGCACTCGCCTGAGCGGGAGCACTCGCCGGAGCGGGAGCACTCGCCGGAGCGGAAGCCTGCGCCTGTGGAGCACGATTCTAAACCGAACACTGAAGCTGATAACACAGCATTGGCTGGGAATGAAGAGGACGAAAGCCGAGGACGTGAGCTGGTACCTCACGGGCAGAAGCAAGTTCGCGTCGTGTCTCCTCCGAGGGAGAAAGAAGAGAAGAAGCCCATCAAAGGCATTCTCAAACAGCCCAAGGCACAGTTCCCAGAGCATCCTGCCCCTGTCCGAGAGGGAGTGTCTCCTCACAAGGATGACAAGAGCAAGCAAAGCGTACCCCAGGGTGCCAAATGGACCAAGATCAGCAGGAAGCTGGTCAACCCCGAGGCTCTTACTCTGGGGAAGGAGCGCTTTGAAGTCCGTGATGACTTTGTTATTGTCCTCCGCGTCTTGGATAAGTCGGAAATCCAGAAGTATGCCGATATTACTGCTCAGTTGAGAGGTGGGTTGCTTCATTTCCTTTCAAACCCACCCCCTTCCTTGCATCTCGCCTTTTCTCAACCCCGTGTTCTTTCCTCCCTTTGCCAAGTCATAAGAGATACGGGAAATGCTAACAATCCTGTTTATAGAGAAACGAAGAATCGAGTACGAAGAAGAGCAGAAGGCAAAGGGTGGAAGCCAGGCGCTGGTTCGCCACGACAGAAACGGCTCTTATGATAAGGAAGAAGAAGAAGGCAAGCGTCGCCGTCATCACCGAAAGGACAGAGAAGACGAGTATGACGACGATAGAAGAGAGTACAGACGCCATCGCGCGACGGATGAACAGGATGTCTTGTATGACACGAGGCAACCGTCGAGATCGCACCGCCGAGAGTAAGTTCGGAATACCGACTGGCGAGGTCATATAGAGGGCATCAAACAGACATATGGCAGGATGGTTGGTGAATAACGAGATATGAGCACTTAGACTTGATCATATGATTTTGCATATACAGTCTTTTGTAGGAAAGGAAAAGCTGGCGGATTTACGATCGATGGCATGGCGATTTTGGGATAATAGATGTCAGTGGATGAATTGTCATTTTTCTAGAGGATTTGTTGGTTATATGTTCCTCGTATAGAGAAAGTTTGAGAAGTTTGATACCATCATATCTTCTGTCCGCAACTTCCTGCCCACTTGTAATGACCTCTCTGTAGATTTGATAATCGGAAGAGTCAAGATGCATAGTTCTAGGCCCGTAAGTCTACTGTGTGTAGCTGTATGGACTCTGCTGGTAGGATGCATCTCGTTGTGCTGTCCGCAGAACTGACGCGCAATCCTTTACCTGGTATCCTACTCAGCCTCGTCAGCCAGTTATATAGACTTGTTATACGGCAAAGAAACAGACAGCTCAAAACAAGGGGTCATATCCAGTCAAGTCATTCCCGCCCCTTTTGACGAGCCTGTGATACTAGACCCCCAAAAAAGACAAACGTCATCACACAGTGCTAGCTCCCTGTAATGGAGGGGCAGGGAGATCTCAAGCTTGTACACTATAGGCGGGCGCGCCGACGAGCCTAGATAGGAAGGCGTCTCTGGGCGTCTGGGCGTGCGCGGCTTCCTTTCCATTCAATGGCAATTGATGGTGACAGACAAAGGGTGGGAAGGCCTGGATGGGAAACTTCCATTACGCCACTTACTCCCATGGAAGAAAATGATGCCAAGGCGTCATCGAACGGAGGGGCGCCCGGGCTGCATGCTGCCCATGAGGTGCAATGCTGCGCGAAGCCCCAGTGCATATGATGGAAGCGGAAGCGATGATGCATCTTTTTTTCTGTTGTCTTTTCTCCAATCTCATGGAGCATTGAAAAGTGCTACACTGATCTACGACAGGTAGACAGACAAGAAAGAGATGGAGACTCCGAAGAGAACTGAAAGACAAAGTGACAGACAGATCACATTCAAGCGAGAACACGGGAGTGCCGGAACACTGAACACTGGCTGCCCTGGGCTTTGTGTGCAGCGAGAAATTCGAACCGCCGCCGGGCAGCTTTTTAGCCTGCAGTGGAGGAGCCAAACAAGAAGGGAACTGGCAACTTCCTGGGCTGGCGTGCGCCAGCAAAGACCCTGAAATTTGGGTACTTACACCTTACCTTATCTCTTACACTATCACCTCATTGCCTTTTTCGTCACGTAACGGTACCTTTTTTGCTTCTCATTCTCTCGCTTGAACGTTCATAGCCCTTGCTCTGCCCCTCCCCCCTCAACGATCACCTCGTTTCCAGGTACAGGAAAAAATCTGGCCAGGGATAGACGGAGAACAAACGAACCTAACGGCCCTGTCATCACTCATCACCAACCTAGACCTCTCTACCTCTGCTCTCTATTGTGCCCTCGTCACCTCCTTTCCTTTCTTTGGTGCTGATCAAAGACCTGACTCCGACCGTCACCTAACGAGAAGAAAAAAAGAGTTGGAACCTTGCTTTTCAGTGCTGTTGGTGTTGAGCTTGCCAACTTTTGGTTGTTCCTACCATGTCTACCTTTACCTTTACCTTAAATACTTACTACCAATACACCGCCTTTCACCCAAATAAAACTTGGGCTTTTCAACCTCGTCTAGTCCAGTCCTGACCGAACCTTTCGGAAAGACAACCCCAGTGGTGAAGACGTCTCACGCATAAGCACCGTTCGGAGTTTCCACCCTCTTTCTCAAACAATTCCAACCCAGTCTCAACAAACCTCACGAAAGGCTGAATCAACCCAATCCATTCGGTATCTCACCTACAACCAAGTTGGCCTTTTTCGGAGACCGGCACGACAACAAGACTGCGCCGAGTACTACAAGGACGACAATCTCGTCAGGTGCACTTCCAAGCACCCATACGCGCAATCAGCCAAGAAGTGCAACACTGCCTACAAGCCTGCGCGACCCCATATCTTACCTTGGCTGCCCCACCAAATCATACGTAAGGGACACCCTACGAGGCAGGGCCCATTACGGCGCTCCCGTCCCTACCACCTACTACCAAGTCTCCTTCCTCGCCGCAAGCATACCTTACATACACGACGTCTCGTACCATACTATATAATACAGAGAAGATCTCTTCTCTCCCTCGTTCTCTCTAGTTTCATAAAACCGAGAGGAGCTTCAAACTGACGAACGAACGAGAGGTCCTCTTGTTATTATAGCGCCTTCTATCAGTCGAACAACCAACAATACCCCTTCCAGCAAGCATGTCATCATCGGATCCCACCGAAGTCTCCAACGAACTGTCACTCCAACAGCAGCAGCAGCAGCAGAACAAGGAAGCCCAGAGCAATGGCAATGGCAATGGCAGCGCCGTAGAGCCCAGTCACGACGCTTCTCTCAACATCGTTCTTCCCACCCGTTCAGCGGTCCCAGCTCCGCTTACAGCAAACGAAAGCCTGGTGGTGGCCGGTGGACAACATGATGATGCGGCACGGGTATCCCCACGACACATGTTGACGGGAAAACAAGAACATTGTATGTGGTTTTGCTGGTTCTGCCCCCTTTCGAGGAAGCATCTGCCTTTTCTCCCTCTTAACCAAGTTAAAAAAAAATCACACCCGGAAGCGGATATCTCAGGAGACAGCTAACTAACACATCTATCCCTTGGAACAAACAGATCTGAAGCGAGAACTCGTCTCAGAGCAGGTAAAATGGGAGATCTCGGAACTCAACTCGCCCACGGCATTGCGACGCTTTGGAGCCCCCTTCAAGTCCGACCTCGGGGAAATCTCGCCGCTGGACTCAGAGCTGCCGATTCTACGGTACATCTTTGTACACCATGTTCGCGAATTCCCGTTCCTCGATAAGGCCAAGGAGAAGGAGTTTTGGCAGGACAAGTTGCAAGTGGTATGGCTAGCCCATCCTTTTAATCCTTAAAGGAAACATATGTCCTGGACTGGACTTATGCTGACGTTACGCTGGGAATATCATAGTTCCTCGAATCGTTTGCCAGCAAGAATATCTCATCGTCCGAAGATCGCCTCGAAGACACGAAGCGCAGGAAGCTTGCATTGAAAGCACAAAAGCTGGTTGAGTTGATGATGGTGTCAGGTGTTCGTACATCTTCCGGGTTCGAAGAGAGGATACGCTTCTCCGAGCTAGAAATAGTGGACGCAAACGCAATCGACACCGGTGTTCTCTCGTCAATGCCAGAGGGCAACTACTTGCATGGGTGGGACGTCAACATTGCCGGAGTTCGCATAGCCTCAGTCAAGCGAAATATCCGGTACCACAAGCATGCTGTAAGTATTGTCTTGTCCTATGGTTCACTCGAAACTTGACGATGCGGAAAAGATGGTCCCCAAACTGACACTATTCAGGAATTCTTACTTCGGGTAAAACGAAAAGGCGAAAAGGAATATTTCGTCGGGAGGCGGTATGGCGACTTCAGCAAGCTTTATAAGGATCTTCGACTCGAGTTGCCCGGCAAGGTCCTCCCTGTGCTTCCCAAGAAGAACAAGACGAGCACGACGGCGACGGGCCTCTTTGGTGGTGGAGACGACTCTGAGGTTTCATCGATATCATCTGCTTCTATGCAGATTACCAACAAGGATGCTCAACCGAACGGAGAGAGCGGGAATGCGGGCGGTGTTTCGAGGTTCCTCTCCGTGAGAGAACATCGCCGCACCGGGTCATCGTCTTCTAGGCGGTCATCTCCTCGTCGGTCCGTGGATGCGACAGAAGAGGTATGTGGCACTTTTGACACTGGACAAGAGTTTATGATTGACACAATTTTAGAACGTTACGCTCTTCCGCGAGAGTCAAAGGATATCTCTCCGCGCCTTTTTGCGTACCCTGCTACAAAACCCACAGATTGCTCATACAAAAGCCATAGCCGACTTCTTGACCCATGATCCTACAACCCTCAAAGATGAGGACTTTGAGGACATTGTGCGTCGCAAGAAGATGGACGAGAAGAGGGTAGAGGAGCAGAAGAAATTCTACGAAATTGCCAGGAAGCGGGCGGCGGATCTGGATGTCTATATGGAGCAGTAAGTCTCGAGAGGATAAAAACGCGGGTTCAAATACTGACAATCATGGTTTCACAGGTTCCGACAAGATATCGTTGAACACAACGGGTTGACGAACCTGTTCAAGGAAATCAAAGAGAAGGAAACGATCCAGGATCTTAGCATTCAGTACCAGAAGTTTGCCGAGTGGCTACGGATAGAGGTCGCTGCCACGATATACCACCTGTTCCTCGCCGAAGACAACTCACCCGAATTGTTCGCCCAAGCGAAGAAGATCCATTCTCTGATCCCATATACGATTATGAAGAACGTCATTAGGATCGCCAATCCCGCAGCCGTCATGTCCAATGTTCTCGATATCTTCCTGGCCCAGCCATTCGGTACTAGGTCTTTGATGCAACGCATATTCTCCTTGACCCTGAACGACGGCATCAAGAGCGTCCAGAGATCCATAGACGCGCTCGCTGCTAAGATCGGCGACCCGGTGTTTGTGGACAAGCTTAAGCAGTTTACAGATGGCGACGAGGCCCTCAAGCATGCGATCAGAGAGGAGGCTATTCAAGACGACGTTGACATTATTGTTGCGATCCTGCGATCAGAGCAGATTTACCCGGCCCTCAACGCTGACCAGGTTACGCGACTATACAACGCATATGTGGCTTTCAACAATGCGGTTGAGAACGTGGATGAGGAGCTCAAGCAGGGCGCTCAGCTCTTCTCGTACCTCAAGCAGCTCATGAAGCTCTATCTCAGACAGAGGGATAAGTCTATGATGCTCAACCTCATCGAGGAACCTGTCACCCTGCAACTGTTCCGGGATCTGTTCACCATCTTCTACGAGCCGCTTGTTAGGGTGTACAAGTCGGCGAATGTCTACAACAGTGTCACGGACTTTGCGATTTTCGTTGATGACCTGATTCAGGTTGTTGAAAAATGTCGGGATCAGGATGCCTCTGCGGATCCTAACCAGACCGTGCAAGCGTTTATCGACTTGTGTCAGCGCCATGAACAGCACTTCTACAAGTTCGTTCACGAAGTTCACACACACGACAACGGCTTGTTCACCCAGTTGATGGGCTGGATCGAGGGCATCCTCGAGTTCCTCCGCCACGGACCCAAGAACGGCACGTTGGACATCAACGCATTGTTCGAGGGCGCGGTGCAAAGCGGCGCAATTGACCAGGACAAGGCGATAGACGAGATTAACAAGCTGATCGCGTGGCAGGAAGCCCGCAAGAAGTGGCACCAAGACAAGACTCGCCAAAAGATGGCGGCAGAAGGCGGTAACATGGGCGTCGACGCGGTGCCTGGAGGGTTCAGCGCCAGTGACTTTGGCCTGGACCAGATGGACTTGGAGGACATGAACTACGAAGACGAACTGTCGGAGTCCGAGGCCGAACAGGAGGTCCAGGAGGAGATGGATCCCATCGATGCCGAGCGGAGAAGGAGGGCCAAGAAACAGGACCGTCTACGGCGGAACGCCGGAGAGCCCACGAAGCCGGAGGTTTCGGAGGTCCACAAGCTCAAGGACGAGTTCTTGGCTAAGCTGAGACAGGTACTTGCGCAGTAGTGCAGCAGTGCAGTCAGGACTCAGGAGTGATCCGGTGCAGTACGGAGGGCTCGCGGGCGAGTCAACTCAACTCTAGGATAACGTACGTATTACGAACTACTGCAAGTCGAATGACAGAGAGTGATGATTATCGTCATCGGCATCCCAAAGGAAAAGTCATGTACGGCATGGGGTCGTCTCGGGATCAGGGAACTTGACAAAGAAATGTCAATGAGGGTTCTCCGGCATGAGCCGGACGAACCGGACAGGGATGGCGCGCGGAATTTCGATACAGTACCGTTACACACGGATTTCCCGGTAGAGCATGACATCACCGGGAAGAATGAGAGAGATCATGATACCTTCGGTTGGTAATTGGGAAACGGGAAGGGATGGATGGGTAGCATATGCTATCTTAGAACCCCAATTATAGTTGTTTGTATATCCCTTTTGATAGTAATTGAAATGTCTTCTTCATGGAAGTTTACTGTGTATCATTTGAGGTAACGGATGACGGATGTTGTGCAGTTCGAATCGCGTTCAGGGGTTTGTTTGATTTGGCTGTCCGTGAGTGGTTCATTTGCCATGCCGAGGATAAATATTTGGCCTGAGAGAGACGACCCCACCATGGAGGTACCGCCTGCACATGCTTTCATCGAATTCCGGAGTCGGCGCTCAAGGCGACAACAACAACAACGTGACCTGTGTTTGATATGAGATGAAAGACGTCGTTACATATGGAAGAGACGGAAGACGTAGTGAGCAACGACAACAACAAAGGCGTATAGAAGACTCTAGAGAGAGAGAAGTGCGCCGGGTTTGGAACTACTTGCCGCCTCTGGATCTCTCGGATCTCTGCAGGGAACAGAGATCACGGGCATCATCCCGAGGCTAACACGCTATTGGCCCTGGATGTGCGCGCGCGTTCGCGTGCAGTGGCAGGCAGAGGCAGTTCATCGCTGTGGAGAGAAAACGGGCATCACTGATGAACAGGAACTGAACAAAGGCTCTGTTGATTGCCAGAGGGTTAGGGGTTTGCTAGTCTTCAGTGTCGTTGTTGGAGGGGCATGGAAGAGAAGACGACGACCGGCGGCGGTTGAGGGTGGAGACGTAGCGCGGGCCACATGCCGGCAACTCGGGTAATACATTGTTCGTGATTGGTCAGCTCCAAACTCGAGGAAAGTGCGGATCGGGTCTTGGAATTCATCGAAACCGAAACTGCATTGGAGTCTGTTTGGGTCTGTCTGACTGGCAGTGGCAGTGGCAGCCCACACATTGGAGGGAGGGCATTCTTTCAGTGGGTGGGAGAGCCCGGGGATGAATTGGTTGCGGTGCCCGTTCGGCAAGCAAGGGAACTGTGAGGTGGTGCTCGCTCTCAAAGTGCCACTGGGTCCGTCCAGTCCTGAAGCCAATCGTCAAATATTTCCTACGTGACCCGACTCCCGAGCCCGTAGGGAAATTCGCAATTGTAATAATCCAACCCGGACCACGTCCACCACCACCCGTCGTCCCCATTCCCGTCCGTCCTACCCATCGATCCATCCTACCACTACCTAATCCCCAAAAACCCACCACCCCGTCCCGCCCACCCTCCCCCTTCGACACCTCACCTACTCACCTACCGAACTGTCAGTAGTAGTGAAGTGTTGTTGAACAATGTCTTCTTTGGCTTGGAGAAAGTTGGCTGCGGCGCCCACGGTGAGTGCTTTTTCCTGTTCATCCCATAACCATCTGGACCTCGGTGTTTGTCTTGTCGTCGTCTGTTTTGCGCGCGCGCACACATCGGCAGCACCCTTGCAGAGCCGAGGAACAACAAAAGCGGGGAGGAGGAAGAGGAAGAGGAAGCTCTTCGGGATAGTCCAGTCGCAGGCAGTAGTGCACATGGGACGAAGAGAGAGAGAGGAAGCGCAGAAGATCTACATCACCAAGAGCAAGAAGAAGAAGAACATCGTCACTGACCAGTCTCGCCTTTAACAGCTTGCGCGTGCCGCCAGCAGAGTCCAGAACAGAGCCTTTTCCTCGACAAGGCCGGCCGGTGAGTCCGAAGCATCCCGTCCCCCGTCCTCCCACCCTCCGATAGCCCTTCTCCCGCCTTCCGCCCGTCTCGCGAACTGCCGCTTCACGGACGCCGCAAAGAAGGGTGTTGTTCATGTTCACCAAAGGCTAACCGGCGACACCTTCACACAGCCCGCGTCATCGCTCCCGGTGGTCCTCTCCGCGCTAAGGAGGCTTCTCCCCATCTCAGCAACAAGTACCATGTCATCGTACGTGATATATTCTATATCCCATGCTATCCGGTTCCCAGGGAAAATCCCGCCAGACGGCCTTTGTTGGCTGACACGATTCCTCTTCCTCTCCCCTTAGGACCACGAGTTCGATGCCATCGTTGTCGGTGCCGGCGGTGCCGGTCTCCGTGCCGCTTTCGGTCTCGCCGAGGCTGGCTTCAACACTGCCTGCATTTCCAAGCTCTTCCCCACCAGATCTCACACCGTCGCTGCCCAGGGTGGTATCAACGCTGCGCTCGGCAACATGCACGAGGATGACTGGAGATGGCACATGTACGACACCGTCAAGGGCTCCGACTGGCTCGGTGACCAGGATGCTATTCATTACATGACCCGTGAGGCTCCCGCCTCCATTGTCGAGCTCGAGAACTACGGCTGCCCCTTCTCCCGTACCGAGGACGGCAAGATGTAAGTTTTTCCTGGTGAAAATTCCGGAGCGCCGGATGGGAATATGATTGCTTACAGTCTACACTCTACACAGCTACCAGCGTGCTTTCGGTGGTCAGTCCAAGGAGTTCGGCAAGGGCGGCCAGGCTTACCGCTGCTGCGCTGCTGCCGACCGTACCGGCCACGCTCTTCTCCACACCCTCTACGGCCAGTCTCTCCGCCACAACACCAACTACTTCATCGAGTACTTCGCCATCGACCTGATCATGCAGGATGGTGAGTGCCGTGGTGTCCTCGCCTACAACCAGGAGGACGGCACCCTCCACCGTTTCCTCGCCAACAACACCGTTCTCGCCACCGGTGGATACGGACGCGCCTACTTCTCCTGCACTTCCGCCCACACCTGCACTGGTGACGGTTCCGCCATGGTTGCCCGTGCCGGTCTCCCCAACCAGGATCTCGAGTTCGTCCAGTTCCACCCTACTGGTATCTACGGCGCCGGCTGCTTGATCACCGAGGGTGCTCGTGGTGAGGGTGGTTACCTCCTCAACTCCGAGGGTGAGCGTTTCATGGAGCGTTATGCTCCTACCGCCAAGGATCTCGCTTCCCGTGACGTCGTCTCCCGCTCCATGACCATGGAGATCCGCGAGGGTCGTGGTGTCGGCCCCGAGAAGGACCACATCTACCTCCAGCTCAGCCATCTCCCCGCTGAGATTCTCGCCGAGCGACTCCCCGGTATCTCCGAGACCGCCGGTATCTTCGCTGGTGTCGATGTCCGCAAGCAGCCCATTCCCGTCCTCCCCACCGTCCACTACAACATGGGTGGTATCCCCACTCGCTACACTGGTGAGGTTCTTACCGTCGACGAGAAGGGCAACGACAAGGTTGTCCCTGGTCTCTTCGCTTGCGGTGAGGCTGCTTCCGTCTCTGTCCACGGTGCTAACCGCCTTGGCGCCAACTCTCTTCTCGACTTGGTCGTCTTCGGCCGTGCCGTCTCCCACACCATCCGTGACAACTTCACTCCTAGCGCCAAGCTGAAGCCCGTTGCCGCCGATGCCGGTGCCGACTCCATCGAGGTCCTCGACAAGATCCGCACTTCCGACGGTCCCAAGAGCACCGCCGAGATCCGCCTCGCCATGCAGAAGACCATGCAGCGCGACGTCTCCGTCTTCCGTACCCAGGAGTCCCTTGACGAGGGTGTTGAGAAGATCACCCAGGTCGACCAGATGTTCGACCAGGTCGGTATCAAGGACCGCTCCATGATCTGGAACTCTGATCTCGTCGAGACCCTTGAGCTCCGCAACTTGCTCACTTGCGCGTAAGTGGCCCTTATTTCTGAAAAAGGAAAGTGATGAATAGATGCTGACGAATTTGCGTGAATACAGTACCCAGACCGCCGTCTCCGCCGCCAACCGCAAGGAGTCTCGTGGTGCCCACGCCCGTGAGGATTACCCCGAGCGTGACGACGCCAACTGGATGAAGCACACTCTGTCTTGGCAGAAGCAGCCCCACGGCAAGATCGAGCTCGGTTACCGCCGTGTCATTGACAAGACCCTCGACGAGAAGGAGTGCGCTCCTGTCCCTCCCTTCAAGCGTGTCTACTAAAGAACTCGACGACTGCGCGATTTTATAAAGATACGAAGTCGATAATGGAGTGGTGTTTTTTTGCTCTCAAGAAAAAGCGTTCTTCCCGAGTTATTACCCCACATGATGCCATTGTTCGGAGTCGGTCCCGGTCGGTCGATGTTTTTTTCTCTCTATGATCACAGGTGGTGGTGCGACGACCCATACGAAAACCATCAACAAGAACGTCCACCAAATCCGCTAAGAATCCCCATGGTACTCGCTTAACGGGGTGCGAATATCAATAGGGCCCTCTTGGCTAGGTTTGGTAAACGGGATGGCTTTTTTTGTATGTGTTTTGCGATTGTCCATGTGTGCGTTCATTGTACAAGATTTTTTGGGAAAGAAAGAAGCAGCATACATGAATATTGCATATAGCCGGGTGGATGGAAGGAAGGAAGGAAGGAAAGGAGGAAACGACAAATGAGGGAAGGTTGGAAAAGAAGACGGTTCGGCCGAATAAAGGGTTCTAAAACACGGGTGGGTTATAGGACTCAACGGTTGGACGAATACCCTGACCTTTCTGCTCTTGAGACTGGGTTTGGATAGTCGAGAGAGAAGAGAGAAGAGAAAGGAAGAAGGGTGGTGGAAAGGATTGCATGTGGATGTAAGCAAACTTAACTACTGTAGTCTTGTTTGTAACTTTAACGGGCTTTTTTTTTCTTTTGCGAAGAATTTGTACGATGTTCTTTCCATGTGACTGGTTTTCTGCTAACGATCAATTGGCTTGATGATCTGATTCTCTCCGGCATGTACCCTTGTGGTTCGCCGAAGGAGTGTAGATGCTCTTCTAAAAGGGATGGGATACAATCACTCTTCCTCAACACAACAACATCTAGGGATCTGAGAAACATCACTCCAGCATGTCATCTTTCTTCTAAAGAAGGTAATGCGACAACAGCGTTGTAATATCAATCTTATGAAGCTGACGCTAAATACATACAGATAGACGCCATACTCATAATCTGAGTCCTAAAAACCGACAAACAATACCGACGACATAAACCCAACACCTGAACACCACACGCTTAACCTTTGTGCAAATAGCTTCGTTACGTTCCTCATCTTCCGTATGCAATTCCAGTATATCGTCAAGATCTCGATCGACTTGTCCCGCTGACACTACTAACTCCGGTACCCAGCCTAGGTTATCACGTCCCTTCCCTTCCGTCAGGTCGGGTCCAATCCTCAACTCAATAAGAAACATCCTCAACTCCCTCAAGCCGAAGAAGCCTTGACAGACTCCGGCACAATCTCCACCTCCTCGCAAGCGGTATACCAAATCGCCGCTTCGATGATCTTGCAGACGATTCGCAAGTCGTTTTCATCTGTTACCGTCACAGAACTTGTCAGCACACGCGATCGATCTCATCTCATCTCATCCTTTTTAATTAAACCCAAAGATTAACCCCAGCAAGGAAGTAGGAGGGGGGGTAAAAAGGAAAAAGGGCAAAAAGAAGAAAAAAACTCACCTCGAGGCGCATAAACCATAGTAAAAGTCTCCGGCACCGGACTTCTCACCGGCCACCACCCGTTAGCCACCGTCGCCCACCATCCCTTTCCTTTTCCTTCCCCCTTTGCCTTTCCTCCTTCATGTCCCTTATTGTTCTTATTCCCAGTCCCAGTCCCACTCGATGACGACCAAGCCATAGGATGTCTCTCCCCCACCCCTTCTCCAACACCTCCCTGATGTCGTCCGGGTGCAAATTCATGTGCATGCTCTTGTCGCTGTGCGTGTGGATGTGGCAGATCTCGCCGTTTCCGCACACGTTGACGGGGTGTCTGCTGAATAAAGCAAACCCGTGCTTTTCGAGGCAGGAAGTGGCCGTGACGAATTTCTGGGGGTGTTTTTGTGTCAGGGATTCCAACGAGGAACGCAGCGCTTCGTAGATGGGTACGGGGCCGGCTTGGTTTAGTTGCCGCTGGGGAGCGAGGCCGGCGACGGAGGGGCGGGGGCCGGGGCGGTAGGGGAGGCCTATTGCCGCTTTCGAATCGGTGGTGGATGGGTTGGGGGAGTCGGTGAGTTGGTTGTTGGTGGTGGCCAAGATGCCGGCGGAGGGAAGTTGGCTTGGGTCCCTCTCCGGCGCCTGTAGCGGGTCACGGATGGTGAAGAGCCGATAAAAGGTCAGTCCAGCGTATCCGGCTGGCGTCGGGGGCGTCCCGCCGGGACCGAGCTTGAGGAAGTTGAGGTAGTCGTTGTGAATCAGAAGCATGATGGGCACGGCAATGATGGTGGCTTCGAGCACGAAGCGGTGCACGAAGTGCATACCCAGGACGGTCAGGATGGAGACGGCCAGGAGGGCAGAGGCGTCGAGGGTTATGTAGAAGGGGTCTTGGCGGATTACCATGTTGACTTGGGAGGAGGATTGAGTTACGGGCTCGGAGGAGGCTGGACCCCCTGGAGATGGGGAAGAAGGCGGCATGTTTCGGGTTTCGGAGGTTACTGTTAGAGACATGTCATGTGGTTTGGTGATTGAGGTCGTCGTGAGTTTGATGTTGAGTGTTTTGGGTCCAAGGACTAAATGGCTTTGATTGTCCTCTTAGACGTTATCAGCCACGACCTGATAGTCGCCCGGAAGGATACTCGAGAGCTGTTAAGTTCGAGAGGGCAACAGCCGCGTTTTGTATGACGAAGGGAAATGCGAGTAACCAAAGTCGAGGGCTGTACAGGTGCACGGACGGGTGTGATGCGTCTCTTCCCTAAGCGTCAAGACGTGCAGCCGGGATGCAAGTCCTTTGCGCAGGTTGTTTTGCGGCTGGGGTTGAAGTGGTGATAATGTCCAACCAGATGAAGTGTTCTATCACGGCTCCGACAAACTCGATGTGAGATGAGATATCGGCGAGGACGTATCAGATGCCTAATAGCAATGATTTTAAATAACCGAAGAAGGTATCGTGAAGAGTGTTATGAAGTTGAAGAAGGAAAAAAAGATGACGGAAGATTCCACTAAAGGCATGTCAAGGGGCACCGCATCCTGCCTTTATGAAGGGTAAAGGACTGGACAAGGGATCGACGATGTAGTCATCATCAACCATGTAGTTCCACCTGACGGAAACTAATAATGATATGACTGCACGACTAGTTACACCGTACCTCTGGTGTGCCGGCCGTGTCCTACCAGTCGATAACAAACTGCCGGCATCCGCCCCATTCATTTGGGAGAGAGGACGTTTGACGTTCCGACTGACATAGACCGGCCTTGGTTTGAGTAGAAACTCCACCCACTTATACTAGCGGTCTATGATGTATATGGTTTTCTAACGGCGAGTACGCTGCGGTTTGAAATACGTTTAGTGTTTGGTGTAAATACATGGAATTTCGGTGGTACTTTATGCTGAGTCCACCGCAGCGGCACATTATCAAACAAAGAGATCGTTATCAGTTCTCTTCAAGACGGAATGATCAAGAAGCAAGCTGCTTCAGAAAGAGAAGCGTCCAAATGAATTATCGTCGGAACAAGTGGTCCGAGTTGGTGAGCAGGAAAAAGTGATGGCCAACGGTAAGGCTAAGGAAGGGCCCTGGCTTTGCTGATCTCGATGTAGTGACGTCTGCGGGGTGCTAGCAGCGGGAAGGTGTTCGGGATTAAGTATATGGTCAAGAACCACGGCTCAATGCAATTTACCTTCGATGTTCACATCCTTCTGGATTTGTGGACGCTCTAGAACACCGGACTTCCCATGATTGCTTCATGTCTCAGTCCCATGGTGTAGTGGAATGTCTCGGGGTTACAACGGAACATTATCGTCTGTCCACCCGGCATAAAAGGCAGCATTTCCGACCGAGCTATCGAAAGAAAAGAAACGTCTGCTTAACGTCTCGATTGGTTGTCGTAGTGGAAGTTTCACAATCATTTTCAACCGTATCTCAGAATGACATTCACATCCGACTCTCTTCAAATCCGCGAAGTCGAGGGGGGAGTGGTTAGGACTGCTCCTTCTTCGTCACTGGCTTCTCCCGAACCTAGCCGATGACAGGGCAAGAGTAATCGGGCATTGGTATGACAAGCACACCATCACGAAGCAGATTCCTACCTGAAGATTTGTATCCGAAGCAAAAGTCGTAGAGTGAGGAATGTGAATGTCGTCGTCCGAAGGCTGAAATTGAAGTCGTCGTTGGGTTATCTTTCTCCATTAGTCGACGTCATCCGTGGACCCCGGCTCGTGAACAACACGGGATTGGCTAGCTGCAATTGGACAGAACCGTTTCTACCCACCTCAGGTGACACCCTGAAGTCCTTTGTTGTTGAACCTTCGTTTCTCTCTTCACAAATCACAATGGAGTTTCCCAACTTACCAATAGCCACCAAAAGTTCTGGCGTATCAACACGACGGCCGAATGAAAAAGGACGCCGAGAAGAAACACAGCCTATTAACACTTTGAGATAGGGATAGCAATGTCTTATCATGAAGACTCCTCGTCCTCTTCCATCTGATGGGTCGAGCCGCTGACCATGGCTTGGGAGTCCATGTCGTGGGACCATAGCCCATTCAGTCTCAAAAAAGCAGATGCCGATGGTTGGGTTGCAATTCGCGTGCCACGGCTCTGTTCTCCTTAAAAAACGCGTTGCTCGGTACCGGACCCATGTCTTTCGCCCGCGTCAACACAACCAATCAATGCGGGGTCTCCGCATGAAGAAGCCCAAGGTTGAAGCTGGGATGCAGGACCAGCCTCCTGGAACTCCATGTCGTTGGATGCATTTCGAGAAAGAAAATGCAGATTTGAAGATTGCTCGACACTTTCACAAGCCAGCTTCGTTCAGCTGGACAATCAGCAATAATCGCGAGATCCTAGGTCGCCGGCTCGTTGTAGATTTCAGCATACGACACGAAAAAAAAACCGGCATCTGCTGGTCTTACCCTAGGCGCATTCCTTTGAGCCGACCTGCAGAGCTTCTTTTTATTCTCGAAGGTTTACAATCGAGCTAGGCATATGTACGCCTTTGGAGCTTGCGACAGACGGTGTTGACTGTGAGAAACATATCTACAAGCCATTGTTTGCTTTCCACCTAAATCCCCAAACTGACTCTGATATTCCGTGTAGAATCCCTGTCCTCATATCCAACCATGGGTCTATCAAACCTCAACCCGCTGCGGGCGCGCGATGCGAAACGTCCAAAACTGCCCATGTATAAGCAGATGGGCTCCTCGTCACCTACAAAGAACGTCACTCCGACGTCGAAGACAGTTCGGACGATTACTCCTCCGACGATTCCTCCGATAACTCTTCACGATCCAGGCCTAGCCCTCGACGGCCCCGACATGCCTCCTCTTCAGCTTCTTCGAACTCCGGACTGATGGCGCAAAGACCATCGCCTACCTCGCAGCGCCGCCCTCCCCGAAGACATTTTTACAGACTACCAAACAAGGTCATACGAGTCTTGTGTCTTGGCCTGATCACGACCATTGTCGTCTTCATATTCGGTCTCGTACGAGCAAGTCAGGTGGAGAACAGGAGGATAGCGGAAGGAAAGGTCGAAAAGAAGCCACCACCTCCTCCGCCATGGGAGAACTTCCAGTTTCTTACCAGGTACTATGGTGGACTCAAGACATTGGTGCCCGTTGAGGAAAATGTGCCCCAGTATCCTAGGTTTGAAGATGAGGCTCCCTACAATGCGACTGCGCCGTCAGCGCAGCAGGAACAGAATAAGTCGGGCAAAAGAGATACTGCGTACGGCTCATCCGCAGCGACCACGGCCATCCCACCCAGCAAGTCATTTATGGAGCATCCAGGTTCGGTGGTTCCAAACAACCGTCAAGGGATCCAGGAGTGTTGCCTCGACGAGCAGAAATCGATACGGATTCCTCAAATTCACTACTACGATGGTCGCCCTAGTGGATTCCCAGACAATGTCATCGGTTCCTACGACCTACTTTCTCTCCCCGAAGACATCTGTTTCGACCGATTCGGCAGGTATGGCCCGTACGGCTATGGCTATTCGGTCAAGACAGGAGGCCTTGGGGTTGGCGAGCATGGCGACCGAGCAGGGGCTGATGAGGTTTGGAAATCCATCAAACAAGTGGACTGGAGCAGTACCAGCATCGATTGGGCTGAAGCCCAACGGCGCTGCTTTAGAGCCAACGAAGGCCGTTATCAGCCTGTTGAACCACACAATACCCCTATTCAAGGCTTCTATATCAAGGAGGATAAAAAATCGCATCTGAAGACCAGAGCCGACGTCCACACTTCCGAGAGTACGACTTCCACACAGCCTGCCGAAGAGAAGGAAAAGGGTTCCGCCTCTCCTGAAGTACCCAAACCGAAGGGTGATATTCCTCGATCCGCTCTTGTCATTAGAGCCTGGGACGAGATCGACTGGAACGCCGAGAGCATCCTCAATCTTCGCGCTCTTGTGGCGGAACTGTCTCTTGCCTCCGGCGGCCGCTACGATGTGCATCTCTTGGTGCAGGTACGCAACGACGGAAAGAATCCCGTCTGGGCCGACGACGAGGCCTACCAAAGGCGTATCAACGATACCATTCCCGCAGAATTCCGCGGTATGGTAACTTTGTGGTCTGAGACCCAAATGCTTGCCATCTACCAGGGTGTCCGCGACCTTTGGACCAAGGGCCCTGAACTGCCTGTCCACGGTTCGTATCGCGGTCTGCAGATGGCGATGCAGTACTTTGCCTACAAGCACCCCGAATACGAACATTTTTGGCAATGGGAAATGGATATCCGCTACACCGGCCACTACTATGACCTACTCTCCAAGCTGGAATCTTGGGCCAAGGAGCAACCGCGCAAGGGCTTGTGGGAGCGCAACGCGCGATTCTACATGCCGTACGTGCACGGCACCTGGGACGACTTCAAGCAGATGGCGCGCGTACAAACCGAGCACGGCACCGTCGGCGCCGACAACATCTGGGACAACGCCATCAGGAAGGGCGGCGGCAACAAGGGTGACAAGCAAGAATCGCCCAATCAAGTGAAAACCAAAGGTGAGAAGAGCATCTGGGGCCCTGAGCGACCCAAGTCCGAAACGGACTGGTTCGAGTACGACCAAGACCCTGTTCCGCCCACCAGCTACGAGCGCGACAAGTACGCCTGGGGCGTCGGCGAGGAAGCCGACCTGATCACGCTCAACCCCATCTTCAACCCGGAGGGCACTACGTGGGAGCTGGCCGACGACATCACGGGCTACAACGAAACCAACAACATGGGCAAGCCGCCCCGGCGCGCCCAGATCATCACCGCCAGCCGCATGTCCCGCCGCCTGCTGCTGACCATGCACCGCGAGACCGCCTTCAAGAAGCACCATGCCTTTCCCGAAATGTGGCCCGCCACGGTCGCGCTGCATCACGGGCTCAAGGCTGTGTTTGCCCCGCACCCGCTGTTCGTCGACCGCGAGTGGCCGACCGAGTACATGGCGCACATCCTCAACGGCGGGCGCAACGGGGCGTCCGGAGGGTCGAGAACGTCGGTGTTTGGTAATCGGGAGCATAACATGAGGGGACTGACGTGGTTCTATAACGCCGGGTTCTCGGCCAACTTGTACAAGCGGTGGTTGGGACTCAAGGTGAATAACGACGGCGGCGAGCAGTTCGAGCTGAGGCCGGATAACAGCGCGGATGACCAGACGGTGTCGACGATGCGCGGCGGCGAGGGCAGGATGTGTTTGCCGCCTATGCTGTTGCATCCGGTTAAGGATGTCGTGTTGCCGGTTGAGCAGGAGGCGGAAGAGGCGAAGGTCACGGTGCCGGAGTCGGATCCGTCTGCTTGAGTTTGAGTGTTTTGCTTGTTAGTTTCTTTTAGAGCGGCGTTAGGGGAGATACGTCTAATGACCCCCCTATTGAGGGAACCTGAAATATGCTGATTATGACGTCTGTGAATATGAACTCAATGGCAATCCATGATGCAGTAATGTTAGACATAAAATCGAGAATTTGAGAACATCTCGTCGGACAACTTGAAATATGTGGTTCACATGTGTGTGTGTGAAGACACGCTAGATTTCGTCTTCGTCTAGTTGTAGGCAATTCCATTATCATATCATTTGTTTTTCGTATCCCCATCCGGCTGATCCCATTCCAAGCGCCCAAATGTGAATAAGTGGTGTTCCCAAAGCAGCTTTCTTAGATATTATAAAATAGTTGTTGTTATTGATGAGGAGGGTGAGGAAGTACTCCATCCGATGAGGAGGCAATATCGGGTGAGTGGTGAGTTTAGATGACCCGCTTGACCTAAATCAGGGGATTTTCAGGGGTTAGCTTTCGACTCCTAGCCAATGCTTTGTCGTAGCCTTCCTTTTTCCTCTCCCTGCTTAGCTAAGGGGAGAGAAGGACTCTCAACATACCTCAAAGAACCTCCTCAACCACCAGACCTGGAACAGGGACTCTCCCATCACAACGCCGACGATAAACAGGTTCCACCACTTGACGCGGGCGTTGGTGCTCTCGGCCGTGTTACGGTGGGTGCGCTCGCGCACGACAATGTAGCTCTGCTCGTCCTTGACCATCTCCAGCATCTCCGACAGCTTGCGCACCTCGATCTCGAGCGGGTCCTGGGGCGCGTCCGCCTCGGAAATGTACACGATGCCGTGCACGTTGAACGACACCTCCTTGGTGTTGGCGCCCCAGTGCTCGTTTCCGAAGCAGTACACGTACTTGCCGTCGTGCTTGGCCTCGAACGAGAAGTCACCGTTGGAGATGGACTTTTCAAACGTCTCGTATTGGTTTAGGGGGTTGGTGATCTATGACGTCCCCGTGTTAGTCTAGTTTTCCTCTGTTGTTGTTGTTGTTGTTGCAGGCTTCTTGATTGTCTCTTGGTTCGTTGTCTCTCCGTTCATGGGAATTATTATATGGGCGGGCGGTCGGACTACATTGGAAAGGGCTATATGGCAAGGGGATGATGACGCACCCAGAAATCGATGTCGAGGTTGCCGGCGCTGCCAAACTCGCGGTCGCCGACCTGGAAGGTCACCGTCATCTTATCATCGCGGTGGAGGTTCTCGTGGAAGCATTCGCGGCCGTGGGCGGGGAGCACGATGTTGTGAGCGGCGGCGGCGCCGAACAAGCTGGCCGAGAGCAGCAGCTTAGCTGCTGTGAGGAAATGCATTTTTGCGATCGGTAATATTACGAATTGGTCCGGGATGGCGTCGATGAGCGAATGTGGAGTTTGGGCGAGGATTCAAAGCAATGGAAAGGAAGCTTCCGTTTCGGTTTCGCGAAGATGTTTTGGGAGGACAACTTGGCGATTCACAATTACCCCTACCTCTTACAATTCTGGCAGCCGCAAGTCCAGGGCAGTTGGACAGTGGTGAGGTCGGGTCCCGCCAGTAGCACGGAAAGTAAGGTAGAAGAGGTACCTAGGTACAACACCCAGCCCGGCCCCCCTCCCCTTGTAGCTGCTACCGCGAGCACCCAGGTGTTTGGCCTTGGCGTGCCCGGTGGACAATGGAACTGAGGCTCTGGCCTATCAAACTTGCCGGGGCACCGGGGTCCAAGGACTCCAGGGGGATAACTGGCTTGTGAAGCTCGAGGCCGTCAACAAGGACTGGTGAATGCAAATGGCCCCTTGGAAACACACACACAAAGGAGGGACTTGGTAGGCCGAGGAGAAGAGTCCCGTTTCGAATGACGAGCGATTCCTGTGAAAATGTCAAAGGATTCGGTCCAATGTTCTTCCCCACTACAGGTTAATCTTTCAGGAGGGCTGGAGGGCACGTGGAGGGGTACCAACAAGGTACTTCGTCGCTCCTACGTGCTGCTGCGCCGAGTTGTTGTTGATGCAGGCGAAAAGGGGTTGGCCAGATAAGGTAGCGGTAGCTCGCACGTACAGGGCGTAGAGTGGACCGTGCACGCTCTGACGGCGGGGATGCAAGAGAGCCAGGAGCCTGAGGAGAGTGGGCGTGGTGGCCCCTCGAGCCCAGCCGAGCCAGCAGAGAGTCGTCTGGCTTCTTTGGGAATCCGCCGAGGGGCAACCAGGCGGCCATGCCAGGTGGGCGACCCCGTGTGTGGGTGAGAGCGGGCGGGCAGGCTAACTGGTGTGTCGGACGGTCGCCCTGCCCAAGAACAACTTTCAAAATCGGTGGCAGAGAGACAGACCTGACGGCCGGAGACACATTCTCGCCCGCTTTGCCTTCCTTCCACCACACACCGCCATCAATCCTACCACCATCCACATTCAACACCATATTTCTGTCTGCTACCGGTGACGCGCATCCCAAACATCGCCGTCCCCATTACTCGAGGACACGCCTCTCATAGTAAGTACCCGTCATCGTTGTCGCATATCGTGATACCCCTTCTCTGGCCCCCTAGCAGTCAGCGAATCAATCACGCCGTTGCAAGGCACCTCCGTGCTGCTGGTGCTTCCCATCGGCGCTGCCTGCCACAGCTTCCCCATTCCGTGTCTACCTGCCTCTACCTTCACTTCACACTCGAACGACGCGTGCCTCTTGGCTGGTGAAGGAGGTCGAGTGGCCAAACGGCGCCAACCAACTCGTCACCCGTCGCAGCCCTGCGGGTTTACCTTGTCCGTGGCATGCTGTTGTGTGCCTGAGGATAGCGAATGGCCAGACACCAGTTATCTGTCCTCACGCGGGCCGTCGTCATTAAATGCCCACCCGCCGTCCCCATTGTCATCAATCGCACTCTTCCTCTCAACACCACCATCTCGACGACCATTCAGCAGTTCATCTCGGCCACATCAACGATCTCTTTGCTTACGCTTTACCGCCACAAACAGATAATTTTCTACACTTGCAACTTTAGTGTCGCCTAATACACAACCGCCAAGATGGGTAACACACTCTCGATATTCGGAAAGCTTTTTGATGGGCTCTTCGGCAAGAAGGAGATGAGAATTTTGATGGTCGGTCTCGACGCTGCCGGAAAGACCACCATTCTCTACAAGCTCAAGCTCGGTGAGGTCGTCACGACCATCCCGACCATCGGTACGCTACGCGCCATCCTCTACCCCCTTAGTGCACATTGACGGCACAGACCCACTTCTTGCGAGAGCACGCAACACTGACACCATCCTTCATAAAGGCTTCAACGTCGAAACCGTCGAGTACAAGAACATTCAGTTTACCGTCTGGGATGTCGGCGGTCAGGACAAGATCAGGCCTCTGTGGAGACATTACTTCCAGAACACCCAGGGTATCATTTTCGTAGTCGACAGCAACGATCGCGACCGTGTTGTCGAGGCCCGCGAAGAACTCCAGCGCATGCTCAACGAGGATGAGCTCCGCGACGCCCTCCTGCTCGTCTTCGCCAACAAGCAGGATCTTCCTGTAAGCGCCACCCCTATCTACCCGAAATCTACCATATTCTACAGCAGTAGAATGAACAATGAGCTAACAATGCGTCTTTTAGAATGCCATGAACGCTGCCGAGATCACGGATAAGCTCGGCCTTTCCAGCTTGAGGCAACGCTCCTGGGTATGTTTTGAATCTCCTTGTCTCACAATGATGCATGCCTTTGTGCCCTAACACTTTTTTTCATGTAGTACATCCAAGCCACTTGCGCTACCACCGGTGATGGTCTGTTCGAGGGTCTCGACTGGCTGTCGACCGAGTTGAAGAAGAAGAGCCCTTAAAGTGCTGGCTACGCTTAATGACAATGCCCTTACTTTGCCCGGGTCCAATATCCGCTCGGTTGATGCCACCATATACGCCCTTTAGCAACCGAACGAACTCGCCAAACATGGCAACCAGTGGTTGACGACCGTCTCACGATAATCCGTGAGACGGTCAAAAAGGGGATAGCCAGCACTCGTTTTGCACTTGTGATCACTTTTCGGAAAGTCAGGAGCACGCTTGGTTCGGGATCTTGTACAGTTTGATACATTGCAAGGAGACTTTGCCTGCTGCTTTCCCCATATTTGCGTACGTCTTATGCTAAGGGGGGTACGGATACGGTTGCGGGGAAAGGGGGGAATACAGGCAAGGATGGAGTGTGATGATGGATGGGAGGAGTTCTATAAATACCAAGCTGCCACTTAACTTACCTTTAGTCCCTTTTTTTTCGTTAGAACCGCTCGGCGTCTATTGTTTTCTGGCCTATCCGCTCATCATTAACTCTTTAATATGCTTTGGGTGAATCAAATGTTCCGTACTGTTTTTATTTGTGCTTTTCCTATCTGTTATGGCCCCTTGCTTCGTGGAAGTTTCCTCTGTAAGGCAAAACTAGGCTAACCAAATGGATTTATGATCTCTGTCAGTATAAAAAAGGGGCAATTCCTTCGTACTCGGTCCTCTCAAAGCTTGGAGACGGCAGGCAACGACTCGAGATCAGTCGTGACGTTGAATCCAAATAGAGGACGTAAACGTCACGAATGTGACGATTAGGGAGGAACCTCGAACTGGGGGAACTCAACCCGACTGGAGTGTGGCAGAACACATAATTACATTTATCCAAGATAATCAATTGAGCACATATGAATTGTTCACTTCATGTTTAAGACTCCTTAGAGGTGAGAACGACCAAAATTCATTCAAGCTGTTCTTTGTTTTCTGCCTGCTAGCTAGCTAGTATACCCAAAAAAAGCATACGTCGTAAAACAAAAAGAAAAAAAGCAAGGCGACCCTCGACTCCCATAAACTCCTGATATCATGCTCTTGCTCTTGCTGCTGCTAGCATGTTACTTCCCAAATGTTCTGTTTCGTTTCTGTATGTACACTGTACGTAGGTATCTCCGTTTCCTTAAACACCATCCTCTTCTCTCTTCTCTTTTCTCTCCTTCACCCATCCTTACTAGGAACCAAACGACCCCTACCCACCCTGACTGATTACACAGCATGCTCAGCTGCATCAAGGTTATCAAGCGGCACATACCCCTCATCCTTATTCCTCCTTGTCGCCCCAACACCCAGTACATCCCGGACCTTAGTAACAACGCCTTCAAACAGTCCCCATCCGGCACCGCGCTTCCTGAGACTCCCCTTGGTAAAACCGTTCTTGTCCATCTCAAACTCATAAAGCGCCTTGTCCATCCACTTGGGCCTCGCCCAGAACTTGAGAAACAGACTGCTGACCACCACACTCACACTGCTAGCCGCCATGGCGGCGCCCGCGCCCATCGGGTGCAGGTGGTAGCCGAACGGCAGGAAGATGCCCATGGCGAAGGGCAGGCCGATCAGGTTGTACATGCACGCCCACGCCAGGTTCATCTTGATGCGGCGGAAGATGGTCCTCGCCAGATGCAGCGCGGCGGGTATGTCCATCAGGTCGTTGGGCCGCATGAGAACCACGTCTGCAGCCTCCATGGCTACGTCGGTGCCGGAGCTCATGGCGATGCCGACGTCTGCGGTGGCGAGGGCGGGCGAGTCGTTGATGCCGTCCCCAACCATGGCGACGACGGCACCGCGCGATTGGAGTTGTTGGATGATGGCTTGCTTTTGGTCGGGCGAGGCGCTGGCGTAGACATCCTCTGGGTCGATACCGACGGCCGAGGCGACGGCAATGGCGGTGCTACGTTGGTCGCCGGTCACGATGGCGGTCTTGACGCCCATGCGGTGGAGAACGGCAATGGCGGCGGCGGCGCCGTCTTTGATGGTGTCGGAGAGACAGAGGTGGCCGGCGTATTTGCCGTCGATGGCGATGAAGATGTTGGTGGTGCCTGCTGGGGTGTTGGAGGGGGCCGACTTGGAGCGAGAGCTAGCGGCGGCTTCATTGATTTCTTCGGCGGCCTCGACCGCGGATTCTGGGATCTCGATGTTGTTGTCCCGGAGGAAGCGGACGTTGCCTACGTGTACCCGGTAACGCGTCCTCTCCAGCGAGGAAGCTGGCTCAACCTCCGCGGTAATACCCTGGCCCACGGCTACGGTGAAGTTGCCAATGGTGCCATCAATTGTTCCCTCTACCTCGAGACCAAGCTCTGTTTTGGCTGCGTTGAGGACCGCTTTGCCCACGGGGTGTTCACTACCCATTTCAGCCAGGCCCACGACAGTCCACCAAAGACGACGGCGCCAGTCATTGTCCTGCCATACTGAAACAATGTTGGCTTTGGCGACAGTCATCTTTCCATAGGTGATGGTACCGGTCTTGTCGAGAACCACTTGAGTGATCTTAGTAATGGTCTCGAGAGCAGCACCACCCTTGACGAGAATGCCGTTTTCCGCACCAACACCCGTACCAACCATGACAGCGGTAGGCGTTGCGAGGCCAAGGGCACAAGGGCACGCAAAAACAATGACGGAAATGCAAAGCTTGACGCACACCATGATCTTGCCGCCACTTGCATCTTCCAAGAAGATCTTTGGAGGGGTTGACAGGACATGGCTCAGAATCATCCAGGTAAAGAATGTCGTCAGACCGAGGATCAAAATCGTCGGCACGAAGTATCCAGCAAGAGTGTCCGCCAGACGCTGAATGGGGGCACGGGTCGTCTGAGCATCTTGGACCAGCTTGACGATCTGGCTGAGCTGAGTGTCCCGGCCTGCACGAGTAACACGGAAGTCAACTCGCCCCGCGCCGTTGACAGTGCCGCCGATCAAGAGGCTTCCCTTCTTCTTCTGAACGGGCATGGCTTCTCCAGTGACCATACTTTCGTCGACATACGTCTCACCCCTGACAAGAACACCATCGGCGGGAATCTTGTCACCAGGACGGACAAGAACGATGTCGCCGACCTGGATAAGTTCTGTGGGAATGACCTTCTCCTCCGCTGCGTTGCCCTCACGTTGCTCCTGAGGGTCGTCCGAGTCTACTTTGCTATCCCAGCCCTCGGCAGCCTTTTGCGCCGCGATGGGGTCAGCATAGATAGTAGCCATCGATGGAGCCAAGGACATAAGGCGCGAGAGCGCCTTGGACGTCTGACCCTTGGCCCGGTTTTCGAGGAAACGGCCGAGAGTGATGAAGGTGATCAACATGGTACTTGTGTCAAAAATGGTGCTCGGCCGGGTGTGCGGAGGGAATAATATCGAGACTGTCATCGCGGCAATGCTGAAGAAAAAAGCGCACGAAGTACCGAGAACAACAAGGACATCCATAGTCGGCGATCTATGTTTTATCGACTTCCAAGCCGATACGTAGAAGCGCTTTCCAATGCCAAACTGAACCGGTATCGTGAGAGCCAAACAGACCACATCTCCAAGATATAGACCTGGAATTAGTTTGACGTGCCCAAAGTCAAGGAACTTTAGGAACATGGGAAAGATCATGCTGATAAAGAAGACTGGGACGGCGAAAGCAGCCGAGATCCTGAATGCCTGCTTCCATTCGTTGATCTCCCGCGTCTTGGCGAGTGACTCCAGCTGGGCATTGTTGTCATCGTTGTCTGCCACAAGGGCATTATAGCCGGCGCCTTCGACGGTTTCGACAATGGCTCGAAGTCCAGTAACATTAGGCATATGGGTGACAGTCAGTCTGGAGGTGGCAATGGCCAATTTGGCGCTGGTGACACCAGGGAGCGCAAGAACCTCCTCCTCTAGCTTATTCGCTGCGGCGGCATCAAGACTTCCATAGATCTTGAACTGTGCTATCGAAGTACCGCTAGAGTGGGTAGGTTGATCAAATGTTGTTGTTAGAACCTTGGCATCAAAACCTCGATCTTCGATGATTTCCACGATCTTGTCAGCCGGTAATACCGTTGGATCGTGCAAAATAACCGCTCGCTCAGCGAGAAGGCTGATATTGAATCTCAAAACTCCCTCCACATCCTTGAATCCTTGTTCTACAGCTGAAGTGCAAGCGCCGCAAGTCATGCCCTCGATCGCTACCGTCGTGGTCGCGCTTGACGGTTTGGAGGATGTCGCCGCGCCGGAAATCGACTCTCTTTCGAGTTCCTTATGAACACTCTCGACGAGAGTCGCGCCAAACCCGCGATCTTCAATGGCTTCGCAGATAGCATCGGCGCTCAACAGTGTCGGGTCATGCTCGATAACGGCTCTCTCGGAGAGTAGTGAAATGCTAAAGTGTCGTACGCCAGATACGTCCTTGAATGCGCCTTCGACCGCTGATGTGCAAGCACCACATGTCATGCCCTCGATTGCGACGGTGGTAACCATTAACGCGGAGTCGTCGGAAGCTTCCAGGTCTTGTTTGGGATGCCTGGCGATCATAGGCGTCGGGAGATCGGTGGCCAGCACCTCGGCGTCGAACCCTCGGTCTTCGATGATTTCTTTAACTAGTTCGGCGGTTATTTGGTCGGGGTCGTGCATAACCACGGCGCGTTCCATTACAAGGCTGACCGACACGCTACCAACCCCGTCGACATCCTTGAAGCCAGCTTCAACGGCCGAGGTACAGGCGCCGCATCTGCGCAAAGTCAGTCACCAAGTGTTCTACACACTTCCGAGGAAGCCGAGACAAAGTCCAGTATTGCGCCAACTCACGTCATACCCTCAACCTTGAGGGTTGTGGTAGCCATGTGCCCATATGGGACTTGAATATTTGCCGGTGCCATCTTGTCGGGTGCGCACGCAAGAGTTCGTACAACGAGACGGGACGTTTTAACGGACAAACACGCTGCGGCGCAAATGACACGGAGAAAGCGAGATTTCGAAGCGCAGGTGGATTTCGAAACGAGAGCCCCTGGGCTAAAACATGGAAAGAAGACACGCTGTGTTCTGAAGGCGGTTCATGTGGGAGAGAGACGATCCGGGACCACCACTTTTGCGCAGAAGAGTTGAAAGGGTGGAATAGGCGCCAGCTTCCAGCGATGGCGTTGGCGAAGTCGATCAGTTAATATGTAGTGTAGAGGAATGAGTACAGATAAGGACCGGTGTCAATATCGAGAACATAGCGGAGCTTCCGGTACCGTTACATATAAGACCAGATGGAGCAATGGATGGCGCCAAACCTGCAGCAGGGAGCTGGGTGCGAGCGAGAAACTCGAAACTTGCAACTTTGACGAGGAACCCGCGGAGAGTGGAGGGGGCGCAACGGGGGGTGTTGGGTGGCTGCGAGAAAGGCACTTGGAACAAGAGAAAGCGGGAAGGGGTTGAGAAGTGGAAGTTTCCATCGACTGAAGGTTTGTCAGCCACTCACAGCGTACTTTAGAGGCTGCATACAGGGGTCTCGCACCGCGCCGGCACCACTGCACTTTCTCCCGCCCATGGCGTGAAACGGGATCTGAGAGTCCGCCAGGGCAAGTTACAAAGTGGGGTGGAGTGAGATCCGAGAGACCGAGCGAGACTGCCATTGGAAAATGGAAAGTCATCGCCAACCGGCACTTCTAGGTATTGAAACATTATACAAAGTCTTTGTGATATTCTTTTTGTTTATTGTGGTTTGCACCTGACAACCATTTATCATACCCGGAACCAACGCCAGCAAACAGTCCAACAACCTCGTATGATATTGTCCAAAAGGAACAGTCATAAAGGTATCACAAGGCATCATGCGACGAAATATTGCATCCACGCAGGAAATATTTACAGTATGTGTGTATTGGACGGCTGGTGAGTCTCGGCCACCACTTCAGCCGTTGTCGCACATACGGGGGCACGCTAGCGATCACAACTGCTTACCTTGCTTACTGTACGGCACACGCCGCCTATGTAAGACACATAATCCAGATCGAGTCATACTTCCCGTCTGGTGGCTTGCGTGCTCAGCTTGACCGAACAACAGTTGTGGAGGGTATAATACAAGAGCGGCTGAGAAAAAGAGCGGATTTAAGGCCTCGTACTAGTATGGTCGAAAGGGCTGAGTATAAGCACATACTTCGAGGTGGATGCCGCGTTCTGCTATATTATCCGGGCTGCTTCTTGACGCATCCATCAATATTGATGAGAAATATTGTCACATGAGGTGTTGCTCGGGTCGGCATTCACGTTCCAGTGCTACCTACAGCCTTTCTATCTTCTATTCTTACTGGAAAGCGCAAACTTTACCGATGTTTCCCACATCGGTCTCTCAACGATTGGTCGTCCCCGAATTTCCCATGTGGACTTCCGACCATACTGGTAGGTAGGAAGGCACAAGGAAAACTGCCGCCTCCGGGAACACCACAATATTGGAAGTGCCTTCCCTTTATCTTCCAAGACTTTGAATCATTATAAGCCTACTATGGTGCAACTCACCACCTGCTGGAGAAGGAAAGAAGTAAAGTGTAAGCCCGCGGTTAGCGTCTTCAGATGAGATGAAAGATGTCGTTTTAGTTACGGCGAATCTACCGGATCTCTTTCCCTAGATTTCTCCACTTCAAACGGGTTGCCATCCCGATCATCCAGGGGACCCTTGCGCCTAGATTCACAAATGCTGGTCACCAAAAGGCGCCTGGTCGCTTCCAAACGTGACTTTGACGCAGCCAAATTTGGCGCCAAAAGTGCCCATTCAACACACCAGCCTCAGGAGCAAAAAGGAAAGGAACAGGAGATGTACAATAGGAACAATAATAGGGAGAGTTTGACGAACACCTCCCTTTCGGCAAGGAGCGAAACTAGGTAATTTACACATCAGATACAGAACTCAACTGAGATCAGCATATTAAGGGGATGAAACCCATAATCGCCCAGAGATTCATATTCTGTAATCTCTATGGCGTACTTGGCGAGCTAGAATTAGGTCGTTGGAGCCGGAGGCAGTTGCTCCTGCCAACCGAATGAGTGAAGTTCAGTTGACTGCTGTGCGAGCGGGCTTGGCCGAGCCGCCGAGGTACCCCGCTGAAGCGCAAAGCCACACTTGCTCCCCGGCTGTCGTTGGAGCTTTCAGCCTTATGGCGGGTGTACCTACCCCAGCTTAACTCCACCAAAGGCTGCAGTCGGACATCATTCGCCGGACCTGTCAATCAAACGCCATCCATATCTTGTGCCGTGCTACACCAAAGCCGTAATCGTACCCCGTAGCTAAGTTCAAGCCAGAATTATCCCCCATTTACTACTTCGTTGTCTGCGCTTCACTTTTACATAACATCCCATACCGAACCCCGGATCTCCAATCTCTCGACTCACGAGTTACCGCTAACCCGGCCTGCCCCCACTCGCAATGGAGCAAGCCAAAGCCCTCAACGCTCTCGAGGTTCGTCCGTCATTTTTTCACA